GGAAGACTCTTCCGGTATCCCACATTGTCCGGACATTCCATGTACCTATAAAAATTTTCGCTCTGGTTGTAAGAAGGTGCATCGGCCTCATGACTTCCGAAGGAACTCGGCTTTCATTATGAGACGTCATAATTATTCCTTCTACTCCCAGGGCAGAGTTTGAAAGGTGTGAATGATTTTTTCTGGTTAGCGTTTTTTTTAGCGAGTTGATTTTCTACGGGACGGGGTCGCTAACCCCATGCCCAACCCTCCTCCTTTACCCGGGCTTGGGACCGACAGTAACCCCCAGAGGAGCTACAGGCGGAGTCAGTCAAGGTAAGAATATTGTAAAGGAATGAGATTGAGTTATACTTAATATGACCATAAAATTTCGTTCAATAATCAGCAGGTCTGTACAAATCGAAGTATTTCGCAATAAAATTAACGCAACTTATTCGAGTTTAAGTATTCAATGCTTATCATCAATTTACCGATCAAAATATTATAGAATCATTGACATATTACCTAATTAGTCTGAGTGTGAATATGTTCACTTACTGAAGGACTTTTTTCTAGATCCTTACTGTAACAATACACAATTTTGTTGAAAATTCACCATCAACTACAAAAAAACGAGTTATATAAGTAGTTAATGAGACAAGGTCATACCAAAACAATTTTTGAAAATAATAATAATTGCATTTATGAGTCAATCTAAGCTAGACCATCATTGAAAACCTGAAAGCACTGGACGGCTGTCTCGTCCTTGTATGGGACTTCTCAACAGTGCTTAGCCATGATCCCATATGCGGTATTCGAACCCAGAACCCTAAACTTTGCGCGAACACTTAACGTATAGACCACTGAGCCAGTATCTAACTTCAATCAATCCATGATCTTGCGCAACCCTTAATCATTATTTATTTTAACATTCTCACTTCACCAATTTGTTTATTATTCAATTAATCACCTATAAAATGATAAAATACTCGTTTATTTGCATTATCTCAATGAATTAATATTTACTTTGAAAAAAGTGGATTACATCAATAGACGAAACATCAGAAATTCAAATTTCTGCTAACTCAGACATAGGCGATAGATATATATGCATCACACAAAACAATGAGAATGGGAAGAGAAAAGGGGTCAGATGCATATATATATATATATATATATATATATATATATATATAATAGTAATAGTAATAATGATAATAGTAATAATAATAAGAGTAATGGTGGGGGAAACTGAATTGTACAACCAGAAGAATTCTACCAGTCAAGGAAGTTATTACTACTTTTTATGAAGAAAGTAAAAGAAGGTTACAATAGGATCGCCACTGGTTTCTATTCTGAGCCATATCTGATAATATCTCTAGTCACTATGTTGCACCATCTCTTGAACCCCAGCTAGGGAGTCGTGAAGGATCAACAGAAGCTAGCTCTTTGCAGCTTTCTTTCATACCACGACACCATGTCATACAATGACCACCTCTCTGCTTTTTCCAACCCGTTCTAGCGTCGGCAAATAATGCACGACGTAGAATTCTTTGGGACGACATTCGTAAAACATGTCCAAGTCACCGATATTATTACTATTATTAACTTTCTATCAAATGCTCAATTGATCTGAAACTATCACCCCTAATCTTGATATTCACATTAATAAAATGATTTATTTGTATTTTTATCATCAACAATATAAATCAAACTAAGAAATCATTAAATCATGGAGTTATGTAAACAATAATATATCTAAATGAAAAAAAGAAAACAAAATATGAGCATTTAACATGAGTAACATTGTCATTATTGAGCACTACACATATTTCTAATGCTCATTTCACATGGGGAAAAATTAAAATGATTGATTTTTAAATTTTGCGTAAAAATTTGAAAACTGTTTTCTCAATTCTGATTGGCTTATTTCTATGTTATATTTGTATCTTTGGTAATTTTTGTTTTTAATGGGAAGGGGGTAGTTCAAAAAATAATATATGTTCAAGAAATTAATATTGTTGAGTGTTATGAAACACAAAAGGTATAACAATAAAAGTAATATCATTTAGTATTATTAAGTTATGAGCACTGTCAAGCTCTGTTTAGGCGAATATAGGATTTTATATAGTTGAGATCATGAGTCAATTGAAGCTAAACCACCATGGAGAACCTGGAAACACTGGAAGGCCGTTTCGTCATACTGTGGGACTCCTCAGCAGTGCGCATCCATGATCCCGCCTCGCGAGATTCGAACACAGGACCTACCAGTCCCGCGCGCGAAAGTTTAACCTCTAAACCACCAAACAGGTATCGAACGGCGTTAATGTCTAACTTCAACCAATCCACGAAATGGAGCAACCATTCACCAATGTCTTCAGTGAGTTGATATTTCCCAACAGACCTGGTTGAACTCCACTGGTTGGATGCCGGCTCAGTGGTCTGTCGGTTAAGTGCTCTGGCGCGAGACTGGTAGGTCCTGGGTTCTAATCTCTAGAGGCGGGATCGTGGATGCGCACTGCTGAGGAGTCCCACAATAGGACGAAGGGGCCGTCCAGTGCTTTCAGGTTTTCCATGGTGGTCTAGCTTCAATTGACTCATGATCTCAACTATATAAAATTACTAAAATCTTCACAAAACCCCCTTCTCGAATGTAGGATTGCTCAGTTTTTGTTAATCATGTTTAAATATTACTAGTGGTGGTAATCATGAGAATTTTTTTTCCTAATTCAGTTTACCTTATGATCTTCGCCTTTTCCTTACTGGATGGGACCATTGTTAGTTTATTAAATGTTCCTTGAACTTGAAAGTCATTCTTTCGTTATTATATATACTGAGTTGCGCCATGTCAAGTTGTTTCGCTTTCAATATCAAGTCCTGTCTAATTTCTTTCTTTTTCCTGTGTTAGAAGTCAATTATTGCAGCGTTATATACCAGCTAGCATTATTGAGTTCGTAATAGAATAATTCGTATTAGAGTAGCTCAGTAGTTCCTTAATTTGCAAGTATGTTAGGCCAATAGGAAACTCGAATTTAACTAACCTATTTTATCAAGATATAACAGTAATATCGTGAATACTATTTGAACAAATAGTACAAATAAACCAATTCTACCCATAGATAGTCATATTGGAATGAACGAGAATTCAAGTGGGGAAGACTGATCTAGAGTGCTTTAGTAAAATATGAAAACCATACATTAGATACTTTATTTCCACATTTTCCATCATTTGTCTCTTACAAATTCCATAGTTCTTTCATTCCTGTTCTCTTCAATATGATCTCAACACTCTGCTTCTAGGCATTTCAGTTGTGAATGATGTTATATACTACTTACGCCCATCGGCATAAATAGTATATACCATAATGTATATCAATATAAGCTGAATTATATAACATATGCACATACACTATTTTTCACTGTTTTGTTTTAACAAGTTTCACAAACTCATTATTTTGAGGATTTATGAATTCCTAAACCACTTTGTCTTTATGTAAATTAGTAAGGTCATTAATGTTCAATAATTTATTATATGATCTTGTTCTATAATGCTTGAATTGATAATACTGATAATAAACTGATTTAATGAATTGATTAGCTAAAAATTAATTGGATCATTTGAAGTTTTTCCATCTCTAAGATCAAATCATAGCAAGAGGAAAAAACAGACAATGCGACTTACTTCACATGAATATATTTATATATGAATTACCATACTATAACGTGTCAAAAATAAAAAAAATATCACAATATATTCTTGATCAGGACATTTAGAGTACGAGATCTGAATAAGTGTAAAGCTATACTCAACTCTCGTACTTAATTTCTATCATCGTCTTGTCAACCAAGTAGAATCATACATTATTTACGAGATTTATCTTATCTTTCATCTTTGTTAACCATGCTTGAGAGTGTGTTCCGTTTTGTGTACTTCCGCGTTGAAATAAAGTTTTCATTATGATGATTGACATTTCGATTTACGTGGAATTTCTTGATTCTGTAATATTTATATCGCTTGTAAGGTATTTGTGGACTAACTTATTTGTCAAAGCGTAGAATATATGTTTCCAAATAATCGGTAAAGCTAAACACTTCACTATACCAAACTTATTTGCTTTCTCACTTTCGTTAAAGGTTATTATTATGTTGAAAAGTCTTAGATATGCGTAAGCCATGTGTGCATGTGTGCACCCTGAGGGGATTACCTTAAAATCGCTATCAAACAGAAGCATTTTTAGTCAAGGATAGATGGTAGCTAGCAACGGAATACAGGACATGCATTTCATACTATTTGAAACTTGTTGTCTGGATGTACCTGGCACGCGTTGATGTTGACGTTGGGTCCCTAACCCGGTCCTTTTTGCTCGGAACATCAACAGGTTATCCAAAAAGAATGAAATAAAATATCGTAAAAATTAAGTTTTCTTTTTTAAGTATAGGATTGTGGAGATTGTTGAGTTTAGATTGATATCATGAATGAATCAATGGTAGACCACTATTGAAAACCTGGAAGTACTGTACGCTGTTTGTTGTTGTTTACTTGAATCTTATCATTGATGTTTAGAACTGCATATGATCAGTCTCTTATTGGCATATGTGCATACTGTGCGTATTGCCTCGATATCGCCTTAATTCACGAACATTATAAGCAAAGATGGATAGTGACTAGCAGTGGAATCTAGGACGCACTTTTCGTCCTATTTGGGACTTGTCAGCTGGTAAGGGGCTATCATAACTCGGTAGATAAGTGGATAACGTGATGGCGTTTGGAGTGAACGGTACCGGATTCGAGCTCCAGAGTGAAAATCAACTCTGAGATGCAGATAGATCCAGCTGGCGGGTCACAAATAGGACGAAATACGTATCCTCGATTAAATTGAAAAATAGCTTTTGAAATTCGTCATTCACATTTATTTATCTCATTTTAACAGTTGTTTTTTTTCCAAGATAAATTAACTTTTGATCTCAATTAATCTGTTTCATTATTTATTTAAAAAATATATTTTTATCTTTTTTGAAAGATGTTTTATATTAAACCATTCACACCGGACTGCAATCATATTTCATGTGGTTCAAATCAACATTGTGTAAAAAATGTAGCTGGAAATTTTACATGCGTTTGTAATGTATTTTTTGCTCCAGAAAATCTTGATCCCAGTGTTCCACTTGATTGTCGTTGTAAGTTATTTTATATTTGTATATAGTCACAGTTAAGTAATTCTTTTCAGTAGGATTCCTGGCTAAGGTTAGGAATAATGGTTAGAAATAGACTGGAAGAATGTTTTGTAGCTAAATGTATTTGTACTTATGAAGTAAATACTTTGATTTTAAATGTTAAATTCATTTGTATTACCTTCAAAAAATTATAACATGTGTTATAACGTGTGTGTGCGTGAGTGAATGCGTGCCCTGTTTGATATATGAACGTGGTAAGACCGCCAATAAGAGAGCAGTGTATATATTGATCGCCCAATGGTACACAAAAGCCGTATTAGCTATCTTGAGTACTACTCGGTCCTGCTATCTGTCTAGCCCAGCCAGTTAAGTCCAGAACACCAATAACAGCCTCTGCAATATGAAGCATTATTCTCAAACATATTGGGTTTATATGCCAATCAAACAGACCACATCGTACCATAAAATAGAAAATAACATTTGTACAAGATTTGGTCAAATATGACTGTGAATGTGAGGAACAGTAATCAATAGATTGGGGATAACTCAAGAATGATAATTCGCACAGTAATAGTCTATGGATCAAAATGAAGCTTATAATAAGAGGGACATGAATATGAATAGTTTAGTTACTTAAAAATTATACAATAGGAAATATACATATTATATTAGTCCATAAATAGTCCTCAAAAGTTACCATCTACAATTCTTTTCGGGATAAAACAACATGTGGTCCCTATTCTTTAGTCTTCTCATGTTAATAACTATAAGTTTCTTAGTGACTAAATACTGGTTGATTCATTTTAGCTTTTAAAAAGCTGTAAACTATCTGTTATCGCGTGTTAAATTTCGCACAATAATCCAGTAATTGTTGTCTTAGATCTGATTGTCTTGTCAGTACAGTACACTTTTATTACAGTTTCAAGTATTTAACATTTTAATTTAAAGTGTACTTTAGGGGATTCTTAATGTTTAAAGAACTGTTCGGTAGCCATATTGTCCAACAAATGTAAAACCAGCCTTGTTCGAATGAATGTTAATATATTCTAGTAATAGATAATTATACACTATTCCTAATTTAACTTGCAATGATTTGGATTATCCTGTTGTTGATATGTTGACGGAATTTAAATCAGTCTTAGTTGGCATATGTGCATCCTAAGAGGGTTAGATCAAGATAGCGATTGTTTCACAAGAATTTACAGAATATATGGAGTATGGTTAAGATTGGAATCGAACATGTGCGTTTCGTCCCATTTGTAACTCGTCAGTTACGTGTCCCTGCCTTATCTCATTGTTAATGTTCAAGTGCATTGTAGATGCCACTGGCCGATTGGACTTACTAGCTAGGTGGGTAAGGCGTCTGCGTTGGAAGCAAAAAATAGTTCCTTTCGAATCCCGGTGTGTGTATCAACTCTTTAATGTTTCAGGTACATCTATCTGATGAATTTTGAATAGAAATAAACTTTTATAGTTAACATGAAGATAGTGAATGAGATAAATCTACCTCAAAAACTGAAAAGTTAGCCAACATATAAAATCAAAAACATTGTATCTATATGGTTCATTGAGAGGTGGAAAAAATAACATTTGACATACTTATTCCTATATTTGACAGATTTCCAGTTTTCTTTAAACTGTCGGAGGTTTTTATTTACTTATAAGATACTTTGAAGCATCCTCTTGACCACTGCTTATACTAACATAGACTAATCAAATACACGATTGTATATCAACAACAACGAAGAAACATAGACATCTAATAATAATATTCATTATATTATTAAAAACTAGGGTCCCTTGTATGGCTCTTACGTTCTTGTATGAGACCCAGTAGTACTGTAGGAATTGAACACAAGACTTTCAGGCTTGTGATAAGTATAATGAAATCAATCTCAAAAAAATCTTTATTCAATTTGTCATGAACAAGTTGAATCATTATAAGCAATGTATTATACTATAAAGTGTATTTTAATTTCAAATTTGCTTTGTTTTTTCTATTTTCTTACTATCCACAGTTAGTTGGGTTACACTATTGCTAGTGCTGATCTTTTCACTATTGAGCATTGCTTGCATCATATGGATTATAGTTGCCATTTGTAAAGCATGCTCATGTAAAGGACAATACACAAATGCCAAACCAGTGAATCATTCAGAAGTAGAAAATGAGTCAGTTAGATCTGTTCGAAGTGTTACATCAATACCTTATAACACACGATCAATAAATTGTGACTAGATGTAGAATTCTATGTGATTAATTTTTTTTTTACCATGAATAAGCATCACATAATCTTTAATTAACTGATTATTCTATGTTGTTACTAATGCAAGACACCCTTATTTTATAGTGCAATCTCTTATTTTGTATCAACTTGATCATGTCTGTATATCAGTGTGGATGCACCATAATCTTTATCAAGAAGTAATAACACAAAAAGATCTCGTAAATACGATCAAGACTTATCAAAGTATACACTTACATTTAATCATAATTTGATAAATTTTGTCAATAAAACATCCATTCTGTACTAATCATGTGTAATTTACCTTAATTTATAGTCAAGTTAATTGACTGAACGTTTATAAACACCGCTGTATTTCATCTTTGAAAGCCATTCAACTAATTATTTACTAATTTAAACGTTAAAAAAACTAGTTAACTCAATTATAAGTGTGTTTTTTGTTCTATCCCAATGAGTAGAAATATTGTATTTTTAGCGTTTCGTAACTTAATGTAAGCCACCTCGTCAGAGTAAACAGATAATCCACTTAGTATTGTTTGTTTGAATCTTCCCATCGATGTGTTAGGACTTCAACTGGTCAGTTTCTTATTGGCATTATTAGAGACTGACCAGTTGCAGTTCTAACACATCGATGGGAAGATTCAAACAAACAATACTAAGTGAATTTAAACTTCACCCCATTGCACAAGCAAGTGACTATCAGGACTCAGTGGCCGAATGGAAAACGTGATGGCGTTTGAAGCGAGGGTACTGGGTTCGAGTACCAGAGTGAACATCAACTCTGAGATGCAGGTACATCCAGCTGACGAGTCCCAAATAGGACGAAACGCGCTTCCTGTATTCCACTGCTAGCCACTAACCATCTTTGCTTAAACAGATAATCAAAATAAGTTGACACAGGTTCCTTTATACTATTTAAACATATGTAATTCTATTTCAATTATTAGTTTACTCTGAAGATGTGGTTTACATTAAGTTACGAAATGTCAAAAATACAATTTTTCTACTCAGTTGGATATAACAAAAATAGATTTCATATTAAATTTCTACCCAATGCTCAATTTATATTTGAAACTATCAAGTTCAAACTTGGCATTGATACCATTAACAAGTTAATTATCTAAATTCTGTAAAGAATTTATTGATTCCAGTTATTCTATATTAAGTAACTAATAAGATTTACTTAGTTAGTTAAGTGATTTATAATGATTAAATAAATATTTAGACAGTTTCATTATGGAACAATAAAAGCCGTAAAATCAATAAAAATCAGAGATTATTGAATAATTGTTTTGTTTTTTTTAAAAAGTTTAGAAATATAGTAATCATTATGAAACCGAAATATAACGTATTCAATCCTACCTGAATTTTTCAATATATACTGTTAATAAGTCTTTAACTATATTGAGACAGTTGTTGATCACTTTATGGTTTATCGTAAATTCACTCAATAAATTTCTTATTATTATACCTTAATATTCTTGAGAAGTAATGACATTTTATTCACAACTGAGAATTGTGATAAAATATCATAAATTGATGTAAAAAGGCGGTGAATAAACTGTCATTGAGCATTGGTCAAAACACTTATCAGGAGACCACTGAATGTCAGACTGTTTGCCGAGCATTATCAGACGCAACCTATGCGGATAGGTCAGTGGGATTCCATGAAACTGTACATAGAGCTATGGCTGTATTATATACTTCCCTAGTTTTTTCGCATAATCTTTTGTTTTGTATGGTTACGTTTATTCTATACAATGCTTGCAGTAATCAAAGCTCTTGAATGTCAGTAGCGAGTAGTCCAGGTTAGACTTTGACCTCCAGATGTGACTGTGACGTAAGGTAGAAGGTCACATAATTCTGTCCAACTTGAGTAGACCTCAATCATTGACACCAGTCATCTACACCAGTGACATGCAAACTAGTTCAATTATTGTACAAGCTAAATGATTTATTACTATTCATCTAAATCCGTGACTGACCTCAAATTATGAATTCTCCATTCTTTATTGTCGCATCTTTTCATCGTTTGATTGTGTCTCTATTAATTCGTTATACTATCTCAGATTCATGAGAGTAAGCAGCAATCATTAAAACTACAGCTCTTATGAAAAGCGAATTATCTTTGAGAACAGCCTTGATATTGATTAAATTGTAAACAGAAGTCACAAAAATAAATATGTTCCCTACAAACTGATTATTAATAATTGTCGACTATTTCTTATAGAGTATTACAATGAATCCATTAAAATACAATCGCCAATATGATTTAGATACCAGTATTAGAAAGATTTAAAACACTATTGTTATATCCCCCGGTGAATTACGAATAGTAACTTTTAGGTCTATTTATGGATCAATGTAATATGTCTATTTCCTATTGTATAGTTGTTAAATAACTGACCTAATCGTATTCGTGTTCCTCTTATCATAACCTTTATTTTGACCTTTGAACTATTATTATTGAATACTTCCCCCCTATCTATAGCCACGTTGGCCAATTATTGTACAAATGTTATTTTTCTATTTTTTGGTATAATTTGGTCTGTTTGTTTAGTATATAAACCCAGTATGCTTGTGAATAATGATTCATACCACTGGGGCTGTTATTGGTGTTTTGGACTTAAGTGGGTGGGTTAGGCAGATCGCAGGACCGGTTAGCACTGTAGTTTGCTCGTACGGGTTTCGTGTCACTATTCCAATCGATAATTCGCTGATCCCTGTTTGGCGGTCTTATCGCGTCACACATCAACAATTTCATCCACTCGTCCACAAGATATAACAACAATACAGTCTTAAAAGAAACTATTCTAGACTAAATAATTGATGTATATAATAATACAAGAAAGAAAATGATGTATAAGAAGTTAGTTTGTTTTTGTTGGTTCATAGTTTTATTGATTTAAACACGAGTTTTAAATCCACATGACTTTCAATAATTCATATTTTTTCAAAATCAAACTCCTCAGTATTGTTTATTTTTGTATGTTTGATAATCTATTACACATTTCTTTTATGATAAGATGATTATTCAACTCTTAGCATGATTATTTAAAAAAAGATTTTTTTTAAAAATGCCTTCTCCATGTAAAATTAATTACATTTTGTTTTGTCTACCGATCACATGTAATTAAGCTCGAAGTGAGCTTAAAATGAGTATAAAAATTTGTCAAACAAGCACTAAAAAGTATGCAACTTGATAGCGAACTATAATTATGACATCAACACATGTTATCACTGACAGGTTAAAACGTTGAAAAGCCTGTAATTATGTTTATAATATACCATTACTATACCCCTCCTAGTTTTACTTCAATCTTCGTCACATAGTGGAGGCTTGTTTAGTCAATGTTTAGCGGTATGTGTCAAATGAACGGATTATAATTTGATTAACTCGTTAATAAAGGTATCAATATTTCAGCTTTATTGGTAGAGTTATTTCATTTATAGCGAAGAAGTCTCCTTTGTACAGTGAAGTCAACTAAGCAGTAGCGAGAGCACATATTCAGTACTAAACAAATGGTATTGTGTTTGAAAGATAAAGTTTCTTAAAAATATTGGTAAGCGCTCATCCATAGTTCGGATCGTTTGATAAATTCATACAATTTGTAAGTTGTACTTTTCAAAATGCTAACATTTAGAAAAAATAGGAGATTCGTGTGTAGGTTGTAACTGGAAAAAAACACCGAAAACTCCTCCAGAGGATTTTATTGAACAGTACTGTTATTTATTTGTTCCTTTTTCCTATCTTGTATTCTAACTTTTATTTCAGTCTCCGTCAACCACACTTTATGTTTTTCAGCCTTCAATGTCTGGGCTTTAATTATTTGACCTTTGTTAAAGATATACCTTTTATTACTTAATTTTACTGTTGCATGTTGACGGACTATTGGCAATAAGTTCGCGTTTGACTATACTCAAATTTATGACGTAGAAACGTTGTCGGGATCATCTCAGAGAAATCTCTAATCCCATTTTGTTGGAAGTATTTTTATTGATTCTCGGGCATTTAACCCTCCTTTGTGTTGGAGAAACCTTTGAATGTGTAACACAGGCTGTCATTTTAGGTATTTTGTAATTTTGATATAGTTTGTTTTCTTTCTTAAATTAGAACTGTTTAAATTAAGTACGAGGTTTGTATTTTGATGCAATTCAATACGAATCATTCAAAACCGCTTCGTATACTATTTAGGAGAAAGTAGTTTAGCCTAATGGAATAAATTTCAGTTCGTTAGTTTTGCGTTCAAACCAAATATTGGTATTTTTGCCGTTACGTAGGTAGTGAATCTGGCCACTAAACTAAGCTCAACTGGACAAAATAGCTATGGATGTGTATGGTCATCACCTATTTAATAACAGATGCGTCATGTTTACCTAACAAGATGGATGATTTTTGTTCATATAGTAATGTAAATAACAGGAAAAATAACAGTAGAGTCTGGGATTTAAAGTGCGTAAGTTTCTGCATGATAAATAAATCAGATGTATATTAAAGAGTTTGTTTTCCCTGAGTATTCTGTATAACTCTTAGGAAGATTTTCTAACAATATAAGGTATCCGGTTGCAGTTATTTATAGTAAATCTACAGCTAAAATGTAGCATGGTAAGTGGATTCTAGGAGGATAAAATGGTTCTTTAAAACTAGGAAACAGTCATACTATAATCTTATGAGACATTACTAATTCTAAAATCAGCGTAACTAAGCACACTGTAATGTTTGTATGGAATGATGGTAACTTCGTTCATAATTCTGAGCCTGATACGGATTAAAAATGAAATACCTTTGTGTGTACCCGCCGACATATTCCTGACTTGAATTATGGTCCATTACTAATTACGCGAATAAAAGCTGGAAATAACCAGTAAGCAGATGGAATTTTACTACCTCTAATTATCATGTACAAAACAATGGCTGAGATGATTCTGTAGTGGTATTGCTTCAAGTCACACGATACTCAGAGCTGAACATAAGATAACTGAGAAAGTTCACATTCAACATTTAACACGCAGAAAAGTCAAAGATGGTGAACGCGGGAAAAATTGATCGAAATTGCATGACCTGAACATGGCGGCGTGGTCACTCAATGTGACCTATTGCTTTTTGTACTGGATATATTACTCTCTTCCCGGTCTGAATGCGTTTTTCAGGAGTTCTAGACTTCATATTGCTTATTGTCACGTAGGACGAGTCAATATAAACAATGATGTGACTTCGACGTAAGATCTTATAGATTAGGTAGTCACATCATAACAAATCTAAAATTTTGGAATTACGTCTAATATTATAGCGTCGAAGATAAATGTACTAATATCGAACTAGATCACGATTTTACAACTTCACTGGGTTTACCTCCATAAATTTTCTTAAAAACCTGGATATATTTGATAATGTGAAACCGAGAACTTGATGAAGCAGCTAATTTCTATTTCACGCTCGAGGTACTTATTCACTGATGAACGATTACTGGTTAAAATCTTTGCTTGTTCTAGATTTTTTGTAGAAAAGTGGTCACGGTGACATAGATGTCTAATTTATCTATAAAACATAACTAATGTTCTCTAAAGCTACATGTGCTGTAATTTCGAAGTCCTAAAAAGGTAGACTGCAAGGAGTGTCACAGTTTCGCTGGAATTGAAACGGAATAATATTCCGCTTGTAATCGATCTTTGATGGTTCATGTCTTCTACAAACAGACTGTTTTAACGACATCTGTCAAATATTGCGGATAGTTCATTTAGGTAGCTTGTAGTTGGCGTCGAGTCGCGGTTTACTGTGATCACCACTACAGGAAAACTACGTGTCAGTCACTAGGTTAGATCCCTTCGTAAGCGAAATATCAGAAGGCAATTGATGGTTGTATTAAGATGTATTTGTTGGCGATCTCGTGGTATCGAAATAGTACCGAGATTATACCAAAATCCGCAAGCGATACTACTGAGCGTACGAGAGATCGTGCAAGGTCAAAAAACAACGGAAAAGTGTTTTTTTGTTACACTTAAACAAGCAGGTACAGCAAAACAATCACTGGTACAGTTGGTCATATTAATAATTGTTTCCATTATTCCAATCACGTTCTCTTCATAAAAAGGGTCACTTCAAGCTCTACTTGAAAGAATGAAAAATGACAGTTGTTATTCAACTGCAGACCTGCTAGTTTAACTAGTACAGTGTATAAAGAGTTAGAAAAAGTAATTCGGGATAGTTTTGCTTCGTCATGTAGAATCACAATCTGTTGACTACAGACTAACACGGAATTCATAGGAGACGTTCCTTCTTGACTAATCTGCTCATTATGAGAGATTAAACATGAATTGATGTTTTCGGTCTTTCCGTCGATGTAATGCTCTTGTATTTCACCAGGGTATCCAATAGCGTTCCATTTTGTGTTCACATAGAAAGTTCTCAACCTATTAACAACTGACATAATTCAAGACTTATTTATAAACTTCTTTTTCTGTTAAAGACAGAGAGTAAGGTTAAATATGATATTACCTGGATTGAAGTTCGTAAAAGTGACACACCTTGCTGCACTATCTCAGGTTACTAGTTACTTGTTTCCGTCATCCAGCGACTAATAGGGACATCATAAATTGTTTTTGTAGTCGTTGAAGTCGAACGTCAAGAGTAAAAAAGACAGACAAGAGTGAAAATGTTGCTGCACGAAATTTCTCTGGCGCAGTAACTTCAAGGAGATTGAAATAAGACACCGAAGGTAACGGGATATGAAAGTATACTTGAATTATAAGTCAACATATCGTAACGGACGATGCCTGAGCTAGCTAGCTATCGTGGGAGAAGCTCTACACGATCTACTGAAATGTATTTGATGCAAATGCTTGATAGAAGACCTTCAGGAAATGTTATTTCCAGTGAGATTAATATGATTAGCATGTACGGGGATTTATAAACCGCTACAAAATTTACGCTCATCAGCAATATCTTTTAGTTGATTTAGATGAGTTAGCTAGATATAACGAAAGCAAGAATCCGGAGAATAACTCCAGAAGGAACACTATGATGAACCATGGTATTAGTCACAATTATAGTGGAAACTTCAGCTGAATTTAAGTACTGTTAACGGTGAGAAGTGTTTACTTAGTGGATGTGTTATAAATCAAAGTTATTACTCTTTCTAATTTGAGTTTCTATTACCTGATCGTATGTTTACAAGATCATGATCAGAAAATATACTAGCTGTGTTTTAAACCATTCGTGAAAATTGATTTCAGGGCTCTACTATAAATAAATGCGTTACAAGCCAAGGTTTAGTCACGAGGTTAGGAAGTCGTTATTTCTTTGGATATTATAGGAAATTTTATTGCGGACGCTTTGTTTTTAATGTTTGAGCAAAGATCTCAGTCTATCATGTGATATAAGTTAATATTGGTGTTGATGCATGTAAACCGTTTTGCACCCACTATCAGAAATGTCGGATATGTATGCAATATAGTGTACATCTTACTCTGTTATAGCCCAAGATGTAGCAAAGATTTATGCATCAAAATAAGCAATCTAGATATGTATCAATTAAGACCTCTGAATACCTGTTTGTTGTTTTTCAAATCTTATTTGACGTGCTCGAAGTTCACGGAAATCGTGTGAACTTAATATTAGTCTGCAGTCTTCAGTAATAAGAATAGTAAGTTGGTGAACCTGTGTTAATCCTGACAGATTGCCTCCCAATGAAGGTCCACCTTCTCTTTGAAAATGTTCTCCGATGGGGCTGATACCATCTGTTCGGATAAGGCATCCCAGTCATTGACCACTCGATGAGAAAAATGGTTCCTCACTTTAAGTTTATGAAATCGCGGTTTGTGAACCTCATTGCCATGACCTAAGAGATTATCAGTGCTGAAGGAAGCAAAATATAAAATATATGAACACCCAAATCATAAGGATACGAAATGCCAGTATAAGATTACCTCGCGTCCAACGACAAGACAAGGGGAAAAAGTTCAAGCATTCTAAACGCTCATCGTGAGGGAGTTTAGAAAGAACCGTCACTAGTTTCGTCACCACACGCTTAACACGCTCAAGTGGGTTTGTATCCTTTATCAGACATGAGCTAGCTGCTTGAATACAGTACTCTAAGTGTGGTCTTGCGTAGGTGATTTCCTGGATATATTATGTCGAATCTTATTCTGCCACTCCAAGTGTACATCTTATTCTTATCTCTCTGAATATCGAAACGGCCTTTACCATTTGACTGATTTTAATTATCCATAACTAGTCAGTGATTTCGGAAGGTATGGAAATTGATATTTCTGAGATGCACGTTGGTAAGTAATCAACTTCCGCGTCGGTATACAATGCTAGTTACGATAGAATAGACGTCATTTGAAGATATTCGGATAAAGATTTGGCACTCAACTAAGAACTTAAACAGGAAGTATTTAGTCCAATTTGCTCTAAGTATTTACTAAGCAATTAGGATTTGCCATATTTAGTAGAATTCTACCAATTCCTGTTCAACGTGTCCTGATTTTGGGGTCTTGTTGAGTGTCATTGTATAAGAATACTAAGCAATAGAAATAGCTGGGTCGTTTATTAGCATAATACAATTATAACAAGAGGTCAAGTGAATGACCACACTAGGATCTTGTATGCATGCTTCGGCGATACAGCATACATCAATTGTGCGAGGTTCTAGGGCTTCAGCCATGGAAGCCTGTTGGCCGATTTGACATAGGGTACTTACGCTAAAGGCTCCAACATGTAGTTTTGAGTGAGGCTTCAATAGACCTGATACAGTGTTCCGCAAATAAGACTCTTTGACCATGATAACACTAGGAGGAAGTTTGGAGTTGATAGCAAGCTTTTCGAAGCGACAGATGGAGAACGAATTTGTAGTACTTCACTAGAGTCTTGAATACGGGTCTCGAATAGACAGCGAACATCAACATTAAGACTTTCTAAAAACATAGCCAGCCCCATCTGTTGTCCGATCTGCATTAGTGTGCGAACGTTGAAGGAAGCCAGCTTGAACGGCGTACGTGGTTTCAGAAAGACTACTCCAGTATTCGTAATCGGTGAAAACATTCACTTTCAACCAGACAGTGACTGGAGATCGTTTAGATAGGACAGAGTTTCCACCATGGGCAAGCTACCGCATAAGTTGGAAAGGAAGGATACACAATTTGGGAATAAAGGGAGTGAAAAAGCGACGTAGTAAATAATAGTAATAATAATAATGGTAATAATAGTATAGTATAGTATAAATTGTCTTGCTTCTAGTATAAGCGAGACTAGTATCGTCAATAGAATTCATCACTTCATTTATTTGTGTGTGGGCTGTGATACTGCCCGGGTACCCAAACCGAAGCAGGTGGTTTTATTAGGGGGTCACACCCCGAGCCTTTGACCTAAAGGTCTGATCCACAAGGCAGTGGAGCATCGTAAGGAGATGCAGTCCCATGGTAGCCGTTGACCAACAATAGGTTCATTCGCCATTCGTTCCATCAGGATACTGGAGCCCATGTGCACCATTGGTTTGGAATCAGGGTTTTCCAACTCCCCTAGTTGGACCCTCCGTGTCCACCAACCCGGTGAAAGCGCCGGACATTCGCTTTTTGTCCTCTCAATTTCGTAAACAACACCCTGGCCACGAGAAGGCAGTGAGTAGGACTTCCCTGACAGAGGCTATATATTCGCTGGCCATGTGAGCATTTCGAGAGTGAAAGTGGACTCTCCCCACCCTCGGCCGTACCAGGGCATTTGGGGGGCTGATAGTCGTGGTAGGCGGAATAGTAAGAATGAAAGGAAAATTGATTATGAATACGGTGGTCTTGAGTGCTGCTGGAGATATGAGGGCGGTTATCACTTCCCAGTTTCCCACACAGTAACCCCCAAATGCCCTGGTACGGCCAAGAGTGGGGAGAGTCACCTCTCCCTCTCGAAATATTCATATGGCCAGCGAATATATAGCCTCTGCCAGGGAAGTCCTACTCACTGCCTTCTCGTGGCGGGGGCGTTGTTTACGAAAGTGAGAGGACGAAAAGCGAATGTCCGGCGCTTTAACCGGGTTGGTGGACACGGAGGGTCCACCTAGGGGAGTTGGAAAACCCTGATTCCAAACCAATGGTGCACATGGGCTCCAGTATCCTGATGGAACGAATGGCGGAGGAACCTGTCATTGGTCAACGGCTACCATGGGACTGCATCTCCTCACGATGCTCCACTGCCTTGTGGATCAGACCTTTAGGTCAAAGGCTCCGGTGTGGCCCCCTAAGAAAACCACCTGCTTCAGTCTGGGCACCTGGGCAGTATCACAGCCCTCACACAAATCGAATGAGATTTGTGAGGCGCATATTTATCTGGTGCTTCATTGTACCAATATTTATGTGTTTAAATAAATAATAAATAAAATAATAAACACCATGTACGGATCTTTCTAGCGGCACATGAAAGGAAAATTGGGTTGGAGTTGGTCTTAGTGGCCTGAGAGCGTGACTACAGTGGTCAAGAGACAACTTTTTAAGACCCGTCACACAAAACATTTTTGTGGGTAATTTTTGCGTTAGCTCCTCACTTGTCGAGAACTTATCGCCGGAGACGGAAATCCGTGGGGTAAGGCGAGGTGTACATTTTTAGGTTTGACCTCTCCTAACTTCACCCTTATCCTGTAGGAAGGCAGCATTTCTGTCACGCTGGTTGTCTGAGGGAAACACTTTACTACCGTCTCACCCCTGTGTAGTCAGCAATAATATTTCGCCCTCAGACCTTGGGTTTGTTGGTTTTAGTCTTACCGCTCTTCAACCTACCTGTCTAGCATGGTAGAACCTTGAGAAACAATTGTTCGATCCAGTATAGTCCGACTGGTACATCACAATAAGTAAGCTTAACCACCATGTCAAGGTAGCAGCAACGATCGGGTTCTTGGATTCACGTTTTACTTCGAATATTACTACGTAATATATCAAGTTATCCCATTTGTTTTGTCCATACGTTCTCCGTATTGTAATCCAAGCACACATGGCTTATTCTAGCTTCCTGACAGATTATTTTATTAGTTCTTCTTGAGTCAAATTTTGACCTTGTCATTTATTCGCTTATTAACCTTAACCCTTTACATCAATGTATGTATGTTTCGCTTACCCTACTCATCACATGTCTTTAGCTTATTTTTGTCTGGCTATGAATATTAAAGCATGCTATCAAATTAAGTTAGCATGTTTACCTACTCCGGCCTGCTCCTCCACTTCGTTTCTCTGATTGTCTGTCTAGATCAACGAGTGTATGATATGTACGTATCTAGAATTCATCCTCATGTTTGACTTATTTTATTCTGTTATCCACTTACGTGGATGAAGTCGATAAATATACACAAGGGTTAACGACATGAATATTTCGTTAACATCATCATACGATCAAACTGAATTCAAATCACCGGGCCCTTAAAATGCGTATAAAAGTGGATAAATAACTGACCGATATTTTCTGACTTGTGCCTATTTTTTAAAGATATTTTTGCTTTATTTTAGTTGTGATGGCTCTCAGCTCATAGGACGTTTTCGAATATCACTTGGAGCTCAGAGCAAAAGAATTTAAACTTATGGGCTTCTTTGTTACTTAAACAAGATGAAGTGCTACTATGAATTGTTAGGTAAGTATGTTAAAATGTCATTGAAACTGTGCTAGGTGTCACACAAAATGTTGAACAAGTTGATCTCAAGAAGGCTTACTACAAACTATCGTTACAATGGCATCCAGACAAAAACACAACAGAGGATACAACTGTAATATTTCAAGAAATTCAGGAGGCTTACAAGTATGATTTTAGAATTATTAATATGCGATTTAATCGTTCATGATGAATGTTGTCGAAAATAAGGTTCACGTCAGTCTCGTTTTTTGTAAGGTTTGTATATCACGGCTAATTTTTAGTTGGATCATTTAACAAGTCGAATAACTGAATAGCAGAAAAAAATAAATGTTTATGGTTAGAATGATGCAATATCCAGAAGTGCGAAATTTTCGTTACAGTAGATACATCGTTCTAAAAAACTGCAATAATCCATACTGCCTAAAACAAGTTTTTAGTGACCCATCGAATATCGAATCATTTTGTTATAGATAATCTTAGTTTTTCCCATCTTAATTCTCCCTCATTACAACGTAGTTAAGAAAATATCATAAGCATGCATATATTACACCTTCAGCTTGGAAGTCTTGGTTTTGATACTGTGTATGTTGAATGTAATAGCTGTTTTATGCTCTCTGTCTACCAGTATTGTTTCACATTCCCGTTTAAGTGACTACAAATTAGCAGGTAAAATTAACTGAGTTAAAGATGACGAAAATCGAGGAGGTTGTATCAATCAGTTAACCCATAACAAATGTATTTAGGAAAATTTCCACAGGGTTTTTATACCTTTTTTCTTTACTACTTATTAACTTCTTTAAAGCTGAAGTGAAGCAATATGTCTGATAAAATATTTTGTAATCTCTCTCTCTCTCTTTCTCTCTCTCTCTCTCTCTCTCTATATATATATATATATATATATATATATATATATATATATATACTTTTCTTCGATAACATCTTTAGAGTTTTATCTGATCCCCAAGAACGTGCTTGGTATGATAAACATCGAGCTCAAATTTTACAGGGAAATGGTCGTGGTACTCAAATGGGTGAGACATCAGACTATCAGGAGAGTCGAGTCGATGTCTTCCAATACTTTACAAGATCTTGTTTTGAAAAATTCGATGATGACTTAAAGGTATGATCTAATAGTGTTCGAAAACTTCAATTACTATGGTATTTAGATAGTTAGTAGATCTGTTTAGTTATTAATATTCTTGTTCTGTAACTCTGATTGCTCTATATGTTATGGATAATTTTACAAAGTGTTGCTCACTTTTTATGGATACTTGTATTCAACTAGACTGTAGTTAGTATCTTAAAGTGGTGATCGGGTTTGTATATCATGATAGCTTATTAGAGCTACATCGATTGGAACACTGGCCCCTTTATGTCTTACCATACCAGACAAGTCTATTGGAGAGCAACAGAACTTAAAGCAGTAAACTGATGATCCGAGGGTGAGGTTGTGCTGTCGAATGTGCAAGGCTTTAACTGGAGTAAGGTATTTTTTTCTCTCAGACAACCAGCATCTACAACAATGTTGTCTTCTCACGGTGGAATGAGATTAAAATCTATCGGCCGCAAAAATATAATACCTTACCTTGCCCTATGGATTTCCGTAAAGTCTTAAAGGAACGGAGATAACTTTTAAAACTACTTCCATAAATGTTTTGTGTGATCAGGCTCTGAAATAACACTCCCTGGTTGTCAAGACTATCCCTAACCCAGTTTTTTAATTAGATATCTCAAGAAGAAACATTCTTCCACAGTATGGGTTAGCTGAAGATTGATAGCCACCTTTATATCTTTGACAGCACTCGAGATCTTGTTCACAATCCAACCTCATATTCACTACCGAATACACTTGTATGAAAAGTTGTGTCTTAAATGGGTCATAAATAGTAAAATAAATTTAGCGAAGGTCCTTGTACTCGACCGTGATCTTCATTTTTTGTTTCAGTATTATCTTCGAATCGACAGCTATTCATTGATTTTATCAATTATTTGACTCAAAAGCCACATGAAAGATTGTTACGTCATTTAGTAATCTATATCTTATGCTTAAAGACTAGTGGTTTAATGTACGACTCAAAATGAATCGACCGAAAAAGATGTGAACGAATATCTAGCTTAATGAACACCCGACCAACAACAAATATTCGTATTGATTTGGTTAGTTAATACTCATTGTATACCCCATCTCCTAATGGGTTATACGAATATATTGAACGATGAGATATATGCATTTAGTGCATAACTAACATAGAGTCTTTGATGACTTTGTGTTCATTGTGGTTTAATTGTATTGTAGGAAATTTTTAGTCAATAATATTAATTTCCTTTGGTATTTGAGAAACTTATATTCAAAGATGAAGTGAATACACAGAACTGATTATGTCACACAAAATTGATTCTTTTCATATCTTTGTCAGTTGAAAACAATAAAATAGAAGATATTGGGTAGCTGTTTCATCATATTATGAAAATTATTCTTTGGGACAACTTTGACTCCTTTTATAGATCCTCATTTAAAACATTGAGGCTAAATTTAACAACCTAATTCAGTATCAAAGTTTATCATTTACTGAGTTCTAGTAATGAATCTTTGGTGAGATCATAATTTATGAACGACCCTTGAGCAATGTGGAAGTGAAAATTCACCTACCTACTGGGATCAAAAGAGGGTTATAAATTAGCGTGGGGAACTAGGATCAGGATCAGAAGTTAGAAGTTAGGGTTCGGAATAAGAGTTAATGTTTTCACCACTAACTAACATCAGTTATTAATATGTTTGGAGAAATCACTCTAATCGGCGAATGTAACGAAGACTCAGCGACACAATGACTAGACAATCTAACTATTCCAATGCGTCCAAGCCCCGTCAACTAGATGGAAAAGTCCAGGTTCAGAAGAGGGAAAGTGTATTCCACAAGCAACCAGAAACATACACAATAACAACAAGCACAACTCAATGATATATATACGGCATAAAAGCGTTCTTGGGAAACGTCACGAAATAGCGTACTAAAAGGGACAACGAACCAATGACATTTAAGATTCTGTCAAGTGGGAAATACAGTATGAAGGTGAAAATGGGTTCTTTTGGCGCAAAAACAAGAAGTTCAAATTTCCGAAATAAAATCACAAAAATAAGACGTTTATCAAGTAATTTCTGGGGATCTAGCATCTCCAACAGCTATAGTGTCCGATTGTTATCTAACCATATGAATGAATTGATTTTGCACCAAAATATGCCATCTTTAATCTCGTTGGTTTGTCCATAAATTTCTAGTCTCACTGGATATCTCACTTTTACGTGTGTTACTGGCACTTCAGCTGTTTAGGAGCTTACTTATATGAATTCAAGCTCTTTCGTTTTAGTGATTCAAGAGATCAAAAGCTTGTGATTCTAAGTAATTTTAAGATAGGAAATTGATGAATGGGTCTTAATCAATGGCTGTAATCCAGTTGATTTCACTTTGAAAGTACTTGAATCTGTTGGTGATTCAGAGGGAGATTATGCATTCAAGTCGAATAGATCATAAACATCGGACATATGGAAGAAAATAAGTTCTATCGATATGGTAAATACATACAACCGGTATATCTTCACCAACGACAACATTTTTCTGCGAAACGTTATCATCGTTGAATTTGATAAAACCCTGATTTCTTTGCAATTGTTTTCATTTTACAGACTTATATTACTTGTTTGTTAAAAGTAGCTATAAATGGTATTTTGTCATTTTGTCTCAGGGCTTTTATACTGTATACGCTAAAGTATTTGCCGATATAACTGAAGAGGAGAAATGTGCAGCTAAGTTTTCTGGTTGTCCCATATCATCTAGTGAAAGTGATAGTGATGATGATGAAGATAACTGTAAGAAATATTCTGGACGTAAATCACGAAGTTATCCACCTTTTGGTTGTTCATCCAGTTCATACAAGGAAGTTGTTGCTCCATTCTATTTATTCTGGGAAATATTTGAAACAAAAAAAACATATACATGGGTTGAAAAATATGATACACGACTTGCAGATTCACGTCAAGTGAGTATCTATTTGTTACTTTTTATTTTGCACGTATTTGAAGGAATGAGGAGTTGCATTAAAATCACAATAGGTCTTCATTTTAAAACTTGATCATTATTATTGTTCCCATCAAAAACCTGTCTAACTAAAGATGTAAGGGACAACAACAAGTTATAACTCAACATGCGAGTTTTAGAAATGAAATTAATTTCCACTCAGTTCCAATATCACTGCACACTTTGATTACATCAGTAAGTTTATAGTAATCTTTTTTTTCTCCAAAACACATTGCTGAGTCATTCGGTATTACTCTTAAAATGTACGTTATAAATAACCGATATGAAGACTACATTATTGTGACCAGTTAAGTAAAAACATTACCACAAATCTATGCCTATATGTACGCTCGAAGTGCATTGATTACTTTGCTCTATGTATTCTAAATGTGCATGTAATGCATAAGTCCAATTAATAATTAAACGGACGTCACCTATGCATTGTATATAAGCTATGGAATCCACCGGATTTGTTCCTATGTATTCCTCATGTATATACAATATGTATTTAGCGAACCAATTTTGCTGGCATTTAGTTACTAAATGAAGCGTTAATGCATACGTGTATACTACAAAATTCATGAGCACCACTCCTGTGTACGCCTGGTGTGCATATAATATCTATCCACCAGAAAAAGAGTTGTCTACACCATGATTTTTGACATATAGCAAACACATAACAAAGGAAGTGGAGACCACATTCCCTCCCGAATCGACCATCTATGATTATATATATATATATATATATCCCAAAGAATGTAGAAGCTCACAATTATGTGCTTCTGGTGTGTATGTGACGTACATTTCCCAATAAAGAGTGGCTCCCATCACCTTTCAATAGTAGCAAATCTAGCAGTATAGGTCCCGAGGTTTTGATCCTTTCCTTCGTAAAGCGTATATCCCAACCCGACTTTATATGCCTATTAGTTAAAACATGTTCAGTAAAGTCAAGAAGGTTCCACCATTTTTCATAGCACCACGAGAGATAGTTAATTGTTTATGAACTACGAGAACAATATTGATTAATCAATCTATTGACTTATTTATTCCAATGCATATTATTTGTACACTGAATTTCAAATGATAGCACTCCTGTCTCGTGATTTCCTCTGTGATGTAATGGAGAAGGTCTTAATTGACTAGAGATTGAATAACCTATAAAATTGACTTCCTTCATTTGCCTCTGATATTTAAACATGTTTATTTATGTGAGTTTAGGAATAGAATAATGAGCAAAGTTAGCTAATTGATTGATTAGGTTATAAATCTTAATCAGCTGAGATGGTTAGGACATGTGTTATACATATCTAATCACCGCTTACCTCGACAGGTGATATTTACCGGTGTGGGAGTAGGCTGGAAGAAAGCTATGAAAGGCCAAACCAAGACATGGTATTTATGCATAAAGTCACTGATTGTTTGTTTGAGTCACGTTGCTAGATACAGACTGCCTGGTTAGGGTTCTCGCAGTAATAGTGATCAATATTTAGAGACTTTAGGCGAGATAGCTTAAAACCTTTTACAATGGCGAAGATGTATTCACTCTTTATCTTCCTCCCGATCTTGAATTACAGTGTTCCTTCACGCATACTTTTTTATGTTGCCTTCTGAAACCCTTTTCTCAATATTTATTTCTTTTGGTTGTCATTTATATTAAATTATTCCCGTCTTTTTTCGTTATTGCATGTCTTATTTATTTCGTCTCTGCGCTATGAGGTATGGCAACTTGGACCAGTGCATATTCGCACCAGGCTCTACATTAATAATGAATGATTGATTTATTTTCGTGTATATATTTTGTATACAAACCTCTTCCGTTGGGCATTTGTCTTTTTATATCAGTTCATTTAGGGGTTTCCATCAGTTTTACTTGGTCACACCATTCATTTATTGACCAGTATTCTATTTATTTATTTTAACAATTACAACGCTTGTTCATATACACAATTGTAATTCACAATAACACCATACGATAGAGTGCATTTGACATGTTGTGTTCACTTTTTCATCATTAAACCATACTATTATCTATTTTCGTCTAATAGGAACGTCGTGCGATGGAAGCAGAAAATAATCGTATGAGAATGTCTGCAATACGCAAGCGAAATGAAGAAATACGTCAATTAGTAGCATATGTAAAAAAAAGGGATAAACGTGTAATTGCTGAAAATGAACGCATTCAGCGTATAGCTAAAGAATCTCAAGTTCGTACTAAATTATTAGCCGAAAAAGCTAGACAACGGTAACTGTTAATAAGAAATTTCATATTCTTTTAAAATATTTTGTTTATTAACATTGCCGAATACTGTTAATTCATTTTTGTATTGGTTATTTGAATCTTTGCCTTGATATTTAGAACTGCAATTGATCAGTTTTTTATGATATCTAAACTCAGTAGGGAACGGTACTGTGTTCGAGTCTCTAAGTAAACATCAACTTTGGGGTGCAGGTACATCCGGCTGACGAGCCCCAAGTAGGACGAAACACGCGCGTTCTGGTGTGAGAAGGCAGTGAGCAGGACTTCCCTGTCAGAGGCTGTGTATGCCTGGCCATGTGAGAGCATTTGGAGAGAGAGTGAGCGGGCCCTTCCCACTCTCGACCGTAACAGGGCATTTGGGGGCTCAAGATGAATCTGACCCCGATAAATATCCTTTTCATGTTGTAACCTATGGTGAGTCAGATGGCTGTTGGGGACTTCCTTATAACGATCACAATTATAGATCTTATGAACTAAATCCAGATCATCATAGAACTGTTGAACCTGATGATCTTTTGTCTCTTTTAGCAAAGTTAGCATTAGCAAAAGATGGCAATTCGGAGGATTCGGGAGAAAAAACGTTTCCAATGGTTGTCTAACTAAGATCAGTTCGTGATGTAAAGTATAAGATTTAACTATCTCCAGAAACCTCTTACATTAATACTAACCACATATAATGTAGAGAGCATCAAAAAATGTCGAATTTACTAGTTTGTTTGAAGGTGGATTTGATTATCTGTAATGGAATACTACATGTGTTATCCGCCTAACCCACAGTTTTCATTTCCTACATTTTCACTTCTATTAGGAAGGCTGTCAGTAATAATATTAATAATTAATTGAAGTTTTTAAAATGTTTTGTATTAAATATGAAACGGTAATTTTAGCATTGTCTTAAAAAATCTCCGATTAAATCTTTTCTCTCTCGATAAGTTCACCCGTCTGTTGAAGTAATTAGCTATGAAGTCTACGAAGGCCATATTATTTTCAGATAATGTGAGTTCTCACTATATATATATATATATATATATATATATATATATATATACCTGTCTATCGACTATACTTTATATTACAGGGAAGCAGCTCAATTAGACGAAGCTTGGAATGATGAAGTCGCTTTCGGTGGAATCGCATCTCAGTGGTCGGAACAATTTGAAGCCGAGATAAAACGTTTAGAAGCAGAGCTTGATGGTATCAATTTAGACGATCCGCTACAGGTGATTCACTACAATCTAAGATGATGATAACATTACTAAAAATGATTTTTAAGTAATTTAAAAGTGTGTACCATAATTTTTATGTTATCCTTCAGCTGTAAAACGTCCATCATTAGTAATATTCTATCTAGTTGACCTCACCAGTAAATTTTATTAGCGTCGTTGATGACGAAATTTTACCCGACCGTTGCTGCTACCTTGACGTGGTGGTCGGGCTTGCCTATCGTGATGATTCAATCGAGCTATGCTGGCTGGAACAATCGTTCCTCAAGGTCCTACCATGCCAGACAGGTCGGTTGAAGAGCGGTGAGACTAAAAGCAGCAATCCCGAGGTCTGAAGGCGAAGTCGTACTGCTGACTGTACAGAGGTGTGAAAGCAGTAAGGTGTTTCCTTCAGACAACCAGCATGACAGCGATGCTGCCTTCCCACAAGGAGGGGTGGGGTTAGAAAAGGTCGACCCTAAAAATGCACACCTCGCCTTATCCCACGGATATCCGTCTCCGGCGGTAAGGTTTTTTGAAGAACGGAGCTAACACGTCAAAAATCCTCCACAAAAAGGTCGTGTGTAACCGACCTCAAGCAGTTGTCCCTTGGGCACTGCGGTCACACTCTCAGGTCATTAAGACCACTTCTAACCCAATTTCCTTTTCAGGTACCCCTAGAAGAACCCTTCCACGGTGTGGGCAACCGGGAAGTGATACTAGCCCTCATACCCTTAACTGCACACGAGACCAAGTTGGTCGCTTTCAAATCCTTCCTACACCTCCTAATAACTCTCTTATCTCCACGACTAACCCTTCCCACGTCCTTTTATCACCTCGCACCGCTAGGACAAACGATTCGAGTACACAGAACGTTATTCCTGGTCTCCTGAAACCACGCTCTAAACTACATATAGGAACTTTTAATATCCGAACATTGTGCCAAATAGGACAACAGGCTTCCTTAGCTAGGACTCTAGAATCTTACACCATCGATGTGTACTGCGTCTCCTAAACGCGCATACAAGATCCGAGTAGTGTCATTTATTTGACCGCACCTAATCAAAATAAAGTTTCATCTCGATACACGCTTCGTGTATCTGGAAGCCCTGATGCTGCTTCCCGTGGCCTCACTGGAGTAGGTATAGCATTAAGTCCTAGGGCAGAACTAGCTCTTTTAGACTGGATCCCAGTAGACAGTCGTCTATGCGCTGTCCGACTAAACGGATCAGTAATATAAGACCCGGAAAGATAGGTAAACTCGTCGTCTCTGCCTACTCTCCCACTGACTGCAGCTCAGACGATATAAAAGATGATTTTTACAGGAAACTTTCTGACCTTCTCCGAGAAGCTAGGCGTTCTGATGTAGTAATAGTAGCAGGTGACTTTAATGCTCAAGTAGGTAAACTAAGTGAAAGGGAAAGACACCTGGGTGGATCTTATGGTGTCATGGCGAAAAGAACAGATAATGGCGACCGTCTGTTGCAGCTATGCTCAGATAACCGCCTATTTCTTGCAAATACTAACTTTAAGCATAAGGAAAAACATCTTTTGACATGGCGACCCCCGAATTCGTCCCAACGTTGGACCCAATTAGATCACATCGCTATCAGCCACCGATGGAGGGGCTCGATAGAAGACTGTCGCTCATTCTGGGGCACATGTTTAGATCCAGATCATGCTCTAGTGCGAGCACGTATCTGTCTGCGTCTTACTGGTCGTAGGAAAGACACTGCAGGGAAGCCTCTAAGGGTTCTACTTAATGATAAGCAAGCTAAGAATATATTTCAGGAACAACTAGAAAAACAGTTAGGCAGCCATGTAAGTTGTGTTCACCCCGAGGCAGCGTGGACTGACATCCGAAAAGCTGTGGAAACAGCAGTGATATCCGCTAGCAAGGTAAACCATGAGGTCAGGGAGAAACAATGGATCTCGGCAGCATCTACCGCACTGATAGATGCTCGTAAACTCATCCCACCTGGCTCTGAGCATAACGAAGAGCGGAGTCAACTTAAGCGCAGGCTTATAAGAAGTCTACGCAATGATCGTAAACAGTGGTGGGTAGCGAAAGCAAGAGAGATGGAAAAGGCAGCGGCAATAGGTAACAGTAGGCAGCTATTCAGACTCGTTATTGAAACCGGTATTAGGAACCCGAATATCAGTGAAACCATCTCAGATAAAGATGGGAATATTATTCATTCTCAATCCAGGAGGTTGGATCGATGGGCAGAACACTTTAGGGATAAGTTCAACTGGCCTTCAGCCACACTCCAATTACCCACGATCCCCAGTCGTCCTGAATGGCAAATTGATGTAAGTCCTCCAACCCTCTGTGAGATTGAAAAAGCTATAGGAAATCTGAAGCTAGGGAGAGCAGCAGGCCCTGACAGGTTGACCCCTGAGATTTTTAAGGTTGCTGGTCCAGTACTAGCAGTGAGATTGACTGAGGTCTTCAGGTAGAATCTGGGAACTGGACGTAATTCCATCTGACTGGTCCCAATCACTGATTGTGCCACTCTATAAGAAAGGACAAAAGTCCTCCTGTGACAATCACAGAGGGATCAGTTTGACTAATATAGTGTCTAAAATATTAGCTTCAATATTACTAGGTCGCCTAACCAAAGCTCGTGAAGAGCAGACTAGAGAAAACCAGGCTGGTTTTCGACCTGGACGTGGTTGCATAGACCAGATATTCACCCTACGTCAGGTTCTAGAACATAGACACAAATTCAGACGTCCCACAATAGTAGTATTTCTTGACCTTAAGGCGGCATTTGACTCCGTTGATCGTGAGGTTCTATGGCAGAATTTGTCACTAAAAGGAGTACATTAACTCATAAAGGCTCTCTACTCGAACACAACTGGTCGAGTTAGAGCCTATGGCGAACTGTCATCAGAATTGGTTACCTCAAGTGGTGTTCGTCAGGACTATCCACTCTCACCATTCTTGTTTAACTTTGTCGTTGACATACTTTTAGAGATAACACTTTCATCATCTCAATCTCCAGGAGTTGAACTTTTACCGGGAGGCTCACTTATTGACTTAGAATACGCCGACGACATAGTTTTATTCGGTGAAGACTGACAAAATGCAGAGTTTTCTGACCACTATAAGCAACAATGCAGGCATGTTCGGGATGCGATTCTCTCCTTCGAAGTGCAAAATTTTACTTCAGGATTGGGTTGCATCGACACCTGAACTAATGATACGGAGTGAAGTAGTTGAGCGTGTTGACAGCTTCACTTATCTTGGGAGTCTCATCAGCCCTTGTGGTCTGGTGTCAGACGAAATCTCAGCACGGATACAGAAGGCTCGTCTAGCTTTCGCCAACTTGCGTCATTTATGGCGTAGGCGAGATATCCGTCTAGCAACCAAAGGACGGGTTTACTGTGCAGCAGTTCGTTCCGTTCTACTTTATGGCAGTGAAACATGGCCAATAAGAGTAGAGGATATTCGTAGGCTACTAGTGTTCGATCATAGGTGTCTTCGAAGCATTGCTCGTATATCCTGGGACCACCGGGTAAGTAATGCAGTTGTTAGGAAACGAGTGCTAGGTAGGGATAGCAAATAGATTGATGAAGTAGTGAAACTTGATCAGTTGAGATGGCTGGGACATGTGTTACGTATGCCCGACCACCGACTACTCCGACGTGCAATGTTTCATGGTGTAGGAGTAGGTTGGAAGAAAGCTAGGGGTGGCCTGACCAAAACGTGGCACAAGTCAATGAAGTCACTGACAAGTGGACTGGGCCATGTTGGTAGGTGTAGACTACCTGGTTGGGATTCGCGAGATGACAGCAACCGATGGTTAGAGACCTTGAATGACATGGCTCAAAATCGTTTGCGACAGCGAAGGTGCATCCACTCTTTGTGTTCTACCGAATTCTAATCTTCTGAATTCCTCATGTCCTTATATTTTTCTCTTTCCAAATTTATTTCACTGTACTATACTCCTTCAATAATTTCTTCGAACCCTAATCTTTTTGATTTCTGATTATACTCCTACTACTTCTACCACTATGGGATTTGAATCGACAACTGCATCTCTGTGCTAATGTGGTATGGCAACTCGAACTGATGTACGTACGTACGAAGTTCTACGTTGTGACTGACTGACGTGACTTAGTTTCGTTGTGATATAATCGTGTTTTTGTTATGACGGGTGGTGTCCAAAAGCGGGTTGACTTACCATATCAGTTTAATATATAGTTACTCAGTTTCAGTCAGTTACAACGTAGGACCAGGGAGATATATGCGTCGATCTAATCTGCCATACCTCATTAACATAACAAGATGAACACCGAATTCACGGAAGTAGTTAATTTAGTGGCGATAATATTATAAAAGAAATATTGAATATAAGGATGTAGTATAGGAAGAAAGAATTAGTTGGTAGAAAGAAAGATATAAGGCAATTTTAATCTCATAGTTTAAGGGAAGACAAATAGTGTATACACCTACACTATTGTAATCGATTCTGAGCCTATTCAGTTTAGACTTTACAGTAATTTGTCATCTGAATTATCTACTTTCAGCAATCTTCATAGTTATTTATTCTCGTAAAAAAGTACACCGGATTCTTCATCCGATTCCTACTAAAGTATTGATCTCTTTCTCATTGAATTGAATTCTAATACTTGGATGACCACTTCAAGATTATTACGTTGATACTATTCAACATTTCAATGGTATTTAACTATTAATATCTCTAAACCATTGATGATGTTTAGGACTGCAACTGGTCAGTCTCTAATTGGCATACGTGCATACTGTGCGTATTGCCTCGATATAGCCTAAGTTCACGAGCATTGCAAGCAAAGATGGATAATGGCTAGCAGTGGAATCCAGGACGCGCATTTTGTCCTATTTGGGACTTGTCAGCCGGATGTACCTGCATCTCAGAGTTGATGTTCACTCTGGGACTCGAGCCTAGTACCTTTCGCTTCAAACACCATCATATTATCCGCTCAGCTACTGAGTCATGATAGCCACTTGCTTGTTCAATGGGGTAAAGTTTTTAAATTCACTTGATATTGATTGTTTGAATCTTCCCATTGATGTTTAGGACTGAAACTGGTCAGTCTATAATTGGTGTATGTGCATCCTGTGCTTATTGCCTCGATATAGCCTTAATGTTGTAATTTGAGAAATTGTATACATTCTGAGACTGTCTACATTGTTCCATCTCGATAATCTCACTAATTTTTTTTGTAGTAATTAGTACTCACAAAGGGTTGACAATATTTTAAAGGGTTATTGAAAAAAATACCTTCTCTTATTGTATTCAGTTAGGTATTTTTTCTTTTGTCTGTTTAGAAATCTTCTAAAGGCAATCTTGATTCCGATGATGGAGATAATAGTAATGATGATGATGATACTGTTGAAGAGATGATGGATGATCAACTATATTGTGTAGCATGTGATAAATTATTTGCTTCAATTAAAGCAAAATTAAATCATGAATCATCTAAAAAGCATAGAAAACAAATGGAATATTTACAAAAATTAATTCATCAAGAGGATAATATTTTACAAGATCATTTCAATTCTTTATTATTCAATGAACAATCTTCCAATCATAATAATAATAATAATAATAATAATAATGAACATTCAAATAAATTAACTAAACGAGCTAAAAAAGCTGAACGTAAACGTAAGAAGGAATTAGAATTACAAAATTCATCCAATTCTATATTGAATGAACAACAATTGAATTCAACAAATGATCATGTTGAGATTAGAAATGAAACTACTAGCTGTGAATTAGGTTAGTTGAATAAAAAGTTAATCCAGTATACATTGTTTGTTTGTTTTGATTGTTATCTCTTGAGAGAATATATAACTGTTAAATTCACGAGTCAACCTAAGCTAGACCACTGAACTGGTATCCAACGGTGTTCATGTCTCACTTTAATCGATCCATGAGGTTAAGCGTTCGCGCGCATAACTGAAGGTCCTGGGTTTGAATCTCGCATACAGGATCATGTATGCGCACTACTCAAGATTCCTATACCAGGACTAAACGGCCATCCAGTGCTTTCAGGTTTTAAATGGTGGTCTAGCTTAGATTGATTCGTGAATTTAAGTACTGAAATACTACAATCCCCATACTGATAATATATAACTGCTGGAAATAAAATAAAATGATTCAGTGATAGTCGATCATGTACACATTCGTTTTATGTAATGCATAGAAAGTTCTTTTTAAATCATCTTCATAGATGTAATAACATTGTTTATGAAACGTTTGTTTTCAAATCACATCCCAGTTAATTATTAGCTCTTCGAATAAAACTTTAACAAATGAACCAAGCAGAGATAAATAGTGGATAGCAGTGGAATTTAGGACACACGTTTCGTTTTATTTGAGACTCGTTAGCTACCATTTATCTCTGCTTATAATGATTGTGACCTACTGGTCATAACGAGGCAAAAAGCACAAGACTCACATATATCAAAGGAGGCTGATCAATTGCAGTCCTAAACATCAATGGCAAGACCCAAACAATAAATATATATGAATTGACGTTTGCTGAATGACGTCTTATTTTTTAACTTTATCTCATATTGTCGCCACAAGAGCCATGTTGTTTATCCTGTATTTATTTTCCGTTTCAATATATTATTAGTTTAACTGAAGAAATTTTGTGAAAATTGATTTAATTTGTAGGTAGGTTGTAGTCGTCAGGACTTTCCTGAAGTTCTAGTATGAGGGTCATAACTAGTGAAGTAGTGAGACAGTCTTCACCAGTGGTATTGGATAATCGTCGCGTTACTTCGCGAAATAATTAAAGTTGGAATTGTACTATTAAACTCTACCCTAATTGCTCTCTGTGAGAACCTGGAGGTCCGTGGGTATGCACTGCTGACAAGTCATATACTAGGGCGAGTCAACTATCTAATTTCCTTTGTTTTTCAACAGTACGTCAATTAACATCAGTCCATGAAGAGTGTCTTTAATAATTTTTATTTTAAATAGTGACAAAACGCTATAGGTTATTTTTTTGACATTTAGAAATTCGAGTTTTGTGGTAGGTTATTTTCTACTTCATTATATTTGACGATTGAGTATTAAGGGTCCAAATAACATGACATGTCTAGGTCTGAATCATCATTTATCAGTTATACCATGTTATAAACGTTTATCTCTAAATGACAAGTTATACTTTTTAGGGTGTTTGTTTTTGTTATAACCAATACTCTTTCTCTTTCTATATATATATATATATATATATATATATATATATATATATATATATATATATATGTATAGGTCTAAGTGTACTTGTGCAACTTTCCATTTCTTTATTTGTTTATCTGTATTAATGATGGTTTTCGATTGTTTTTCATTGAACTTGATACCTGTAGTGTAATTAATAGCTGTCAAAATATTCTATTTATATGATTAATAAAATAAAAGATGGTTTTCGATATAAACGCCAACTTTTTCAAAGTTAATTTTCTTCAATCGCTCATCATCTAGTGCGTATTGACTAGTCGTCATATTTTGTTTAGACTATATGTTGGCATCGGATAAAACTATACATAGTAATAATGACACTTATATCAATCCACAGTTTTTGACAGTAGGGAGTAAAGGCGTTGAATTTGTATTCACTAATCCATTTATTGTGATAGACTTTATTTATTTAAACACATAAATATTGGCACAAAAAAGCACCAGATAAATATGTGCCTCACAAATCTCATTCGATTTGTGTGAGGGCTGTGATACTGTCCAGGTGCCCAAACTGAAGCAGGTGGTTTTCTTAGGGGGCCACACCGGAGCCTTTGACCTAAAGGTCTGATCCGCAAGGTAGTTGAGCATCGTGAGGAGATTCAGTCCCATGATAGCTGGTGACCAACAATAGGTTCATACGGCATTCGTTCCTTCAGGATCCTGGAGCCCATGTGTACCATTGGTTTGGAATCAGTGTTTTCCAACTCCCCTAAGTGGATTTTCTGTGTCCACCAACTCGTTTAAAGCACCGGGCATTCGTTTTTTATCCTCTAAACTTCGTAAGCGACACCCCTGGTGTGTGAAGGTGGTGGGTAGGACTTCCCTGGCAGAGTCTATGTAGGCGTAGCCATGTGAGAGCATTTTGAGAGGGGGAGATAGGGCAGGCCCTCTCCACTCTCGGCCGTAACAGGGCATTAGGGGGCTATATTATTATATTATTTATTTATTCAATCTAATCAGATCATTTAATTTGTCTATTTATTTATTTTTCTATTCTATACACAGATAATACTACAATACAATCAACAATAGAAAACAACAATAATATTAATAATAATTCTAATAAAGAATCATCTATAAAAAATTCTAATCCATCTACAATAAAACAAAGTGAAAAATCCATATCCGATTCATCGAAAATCAATAAAATTATCTGTGATACATGTTTTATAGAATTTCAATCAAGAAATGCTTTATTTATACATTTAAAACAATCAGGACATGCAAAATTAAAAAAATTGAATATACCATCATCATCATCATCAACAACAACAACAACAACAACTAATAATAAAGATCCTTTTAATGAAAATAAAAAAAAGTGTAAAGAAAGAAAAAAAATCTAAATGTTAATCTAATTGTACACAAATTTTATGGTTTTTCCATTTATGTAACATGGGAAAAATTTGTATATATACATATATACTATTGACTAGTGTTTTAAATTAAAATAAGTAGTATAATATGATATTTGTATAGGTTTATTTTTTCCCATTGTTATTATTTGATACTGCAATCTAATCTTAAATGGATTACTTTCAATATTATTATTTAGTCACAAATTCTTATTAACATTGTATAATGATTATCGATAGAGTTTACGGTTCACTTTTCATCTTATTTTGAACTTGTCAGCTGGATACGCTAAAACGGGATCTAGTATCTTTTGTTTAAAATGTAAATATATTATCCATTAAGTTACTAAGTCCATACTCGTTATACAAGTTATTGACCATTGAGATTTTGTAGTTCGGATGATAACGTGTTGAAATTTGAAGAGATATATACTGGATTTTAGTCTCAGTTTGAATAAAAACATCGGGATCCATGTACATTCAACCAATAAATCCCAAACATGATTGGATGTATGTCTTGAAATCCACTTCAATCCACTGTCCAAATTTAATAAAAACACGTTAAGATATTCTCATCTTGTAGGGATTAGTGTAACAACAGACGTAGGTTTCTTATTAAAAATATTGTGGTCTTTAAAAGAATTACAAACTTGGTCTCTTGAATCTAAAGATATTTTCGTCACGTAACTAATTTACTATTGTTAACTTTTGTGTACTCATTTCTAACCATATTTTTTTCAAAAATTTATGATACTACCTGATTGACAAAATTGGGTTCGAACTTGTAATCTATTGTTTGAAAGTCAAACAATTTAACCACCTAGCTATCACTTTAAATGATGAACTTTTTGAAAATGTGAATTATTCTAACTGATTCAAACTTAAAAAGAGTGTCGACGTATCATAATCATCACGAGAAATAAAAATTCTGCGTGAATTTATTTGATATTCATTTTTGAAGAGTTTAAAATTAGGATGAAACAGTTATACAGGGGTTATTGGTTTTCCTGGTGATGACCATTTGTAACTTAAAATGATTTCATATGAGTCTTGAACTTAAATTATATGCACTAAACGGTAAACTTGACGTAGATGTATGATGTTCAGATAGTTCTTTATATTAACAGATATCAGTGTAGGCGGTGGAGGTAATAATGAAACCTAAGAATGACTGAATAAACTTTAAGACAATTTTCATCACGTTCTGGTGTTTATCGAGGATCTGTTGAAAACTGGATATCTACTTTGTCCTTATATACAGGCAGCTCTGAACAACCTAGAAGCAGTGAAATTCGAGGTCATCAAATATCGTTGTGAACAGATTGTTTCATTACTGTCTAGTTGGAAGTTAATAGTTTACATTTCCAAACTTGGACAACTATGACATAATGAAATCCTGAGCCAAGACAAACTTCACGTAATGTTAAATGTTATCGCGTTTGATAATCATCCACATTTTTAACCTACTTAATTATTCGATTGATAGACTCAGTTTGAAGCAATGTTAGGGTATTCAATCTGTATTTAGTGTTATCCGACAGTAAACCTTGCTTAACCTAAGTTTCATGTTATTCAATACTCGTCAGCAACGTACCTATAATCTTGTGGGACTGGTACTTCCTTTAGGGTGCGATCTCATGTCATACAACCTCATAATTTGAGACTTTACTGCTGACTTGTTCGAGGCACGACTGAGCTGTACGAATGAGATTTCTTTTCACAATCGCTTGATCAATAAGTAGTGTAGTGAATGTCAGGTTTAACTTTATTCAGTCGATGAAGTCTTAGGAATTTTTTAAGTCGACATTGTTAGAATTCTACACCATAATTGGATAATAGAAGCAATTTATTTAACTGACTAGTATTAACATTTACTATATCAGACTGTTTCTATATACAACCTTAAAATGCGTCATGTTTGCCTTTTCATTGTTTCTTTTCTTGAAGGAAACGTATAATTACGCATAAAATTAGGATTACGAAAATGTTACTGGTGTGACAAATTAGCTATCTCATTAAAAACAAACCAGGAGAAATATAGAGAGAGTGAAAGTGAGCGGAAACTCGACAACACACTTGCCAAAATTAACCTCAGTTTGTCTCTGATACACTAACAATGATTGGTTTTGTGTATTCTTAAATTGTAGATGAAAATAAATGATCATCATTTATTTACGCACCGTACTGATTTGTCATTCTCATTATGATAAAATGTGATGATACAAAAATACAGTCAGGAGTGTAGTATGAAGGAAAATAAAAATTCAGGTGTGGATCACTTCTACATGCCTTTTTTTTAGTCAAATAATGGGAAGAAGTATAACAAAGAGAGGGAGTAAGGTAGATAATGTCAAATCATGAATCATTGTTATAAATGAAACAAGGAGATAGGAAACACTTGTAATGAAAATTTGTTATCTGGATGTATATATATAGTATGTAATGGCTAGTCATAATCAACCTGTAGCCTAGAACAAGATATATTTTGACCCATGTTGCCATATGAGCACATAAGATAAAATTAACAAAATATGTAGCATACAAAATCGGGATAATGCAGTGTCAATAGTAATATGAAAGACTAATCACTAGGAATATGGTTTGAAGAGACAAAATGAAAAGTTCTGAATAAAGGAATATTGATACTTAGAATCTAGAACGCGAGTGAATGCATTAGAGCCATTGTGAATTATTCTGAAACATGTTACCCATCGTCTCTAACCATTGGTCGCGGTTATCTTAATGACCAGGTGGTTTGCATCTACCAATATGACTCATTAACAGTATGGTTTCATGGGCCAATGGGACGTTTTTAAGTCGTAATGACCGAGTGGAACTTTATTGACTGGGACACTCGTTCCTTTAAGTCCCACCTTACCAGACAGTTTCGTTAAGGAGCGGTAAGATGAAGTTTATCAAACTCATGATACGACTACGAGTCCGTGCTGCAGATAGTATGTAGATGTGATAGTAGTGAGGTGTTTCCCTTAGACAATCAGCATCTGCAACATCAGGAAAAGGATTGGAAAAAGTCTACTTTAAAAATAAAAAACCTCATCTTGAGCATAAATTTCTTGTACCGAGTGTAAGGTTTCAAAAGTTCTAGGATAACACGCTACTCGTATAAAGACAAAATATATGACGATCGCCAAGCGCTCTCAAGTTATCAAGACCAGTGTTAACTCTAGTTCCTTCCCAAGTATCTCAAAAATAAGTGTCATTCCACTCCATAAGCACTCAGGAAGTAAAGACTGCCCTTATATCTCTGACAGTAGTCGAAACCAATCCGTTCACAATCAGACTCCATCTTCGTTACGTCACATTGAATGCTTAAACTGATTAGTGAAGATATAATAAATACATCAAATAACTAAGACATCATATCCAAGGCTACATTATATGTAATATTATATAACATGACTCAGCCTACTGTTTGGATGTCAACACTAGCAGTATGATGTTGCTGTTGAAAGAAAATGCGACTTAAACTATGAACAATCGAATATACTATTTTGGTAATACTACTACTTACGTATTCAATAGTTCAAGTCGAAACATGTAATATTTGATCGTTTCAAAAGCCTCAACTTAACAATGTATAGAATTTTCATAATTTTTAAAGGAAAAAACTTCAGATGGTAATATGTATGTGATTTTGAGAATGACTTCATACCTTTGGAAGAATAAAACAAAACAATGTATAATCTTAATTTTAATTCATTTATATTGGTTGTTTGGATTTTCCGATTGATGTCCAGAACTTCAGTCAGTCAGCTACAAAGTAGGACCAGGCACATATATGCATCGGTCCAAGTTTCCATACCTAATCAGCACAAGATGAACACTGGATTCATAGAAATATTTAATTTAGTGGTGGTAGTATATAAAAGATAGATTGTATATAAGAATATAGTACAGGAAGAAAGACAGATATTAAACAATTTTAATCTCAAGGTTTAAGGGAATAAAAAGAGTACATACACCTACGCCATTGTGATCGATTCTGAGCCATGTTACCTAGAGTCTTCAACCATTGGTTACGATAGTCACGCGGACCCCAACCAGGTAGTCTGCATCTACCAACATGGCTCAGACTAGAAGTTAGTGACTTCAAGTACCGATGCCAAGTTTTGGTTTGGCCGCCCCTAACTCTTTTCCAACCATCCCCTACACTAGTCAGCATTGCGCGTCATGGTAATCGGTGTTCAGTCATACGTAACACTTGGCCCAAACATCTCAGTTGATGAAGATTCACAACCCCAGCAACTGATTTACCATTATTCCCTAATACCCTGCGTCTAACCTCACTATTACTTACCCGGTTATCCCAGCAGATGCGAGCAATATTTCTAAGGCATCTGTGTTAAAATACTAGTAGCTTATTAGTATCTTCTAATCTTAATGGCCACGTTTCGCAGCCGTAAAGTAGAACAGAGCGAACTGCTGCGCAGTATACTCGTCCCTCAATTGATAGACAGATATCTCGGCTTTGCCATAGGTGACGTAATTTGGCCAAAGCCGAACGAGCTTTTTAAATCCGTTCTGAGATTTCGTCAGACACTAACCCATTAGGGTTGATGAGACTTTTAAGATAAGTAAAGCTGTCGACGCGTTCAACTACTTCACTCCCTATCCTTAGTTCACGTGTTGACGTAAGTCAGTCCTGGAGTAACAATTTACAATTTCATTTTTCTACACATTTAAACGTGATAAATATATTATTTTTGTGTAATTATTGTTACATAATGCTAATGTATATACAAGAATTTATCACATATTTTCAATCTTAAATTATGAATCTAAAGATTGATGTTTAAGTAATGTCCAGTTACTTAGACTAGTGGTTAAATTACAGTTTAATCGATAAAATTTAATTAATCATAAAAACTAGGTAAACATGATATTCACCACTAGTCAGTGATTAGTAAATGATCTGAGATAATTCATTTTATCAGTATAAAAATATAGGACTAAAACATGTTAATTACATATTTGCACAGTTGAGTTCCTGAGTCGATTTAAACTAGACCATCATTGAAAAACTGGAAGCACTGTTTGACGGCCGTTTTTTGTCCTAGTATGGGACCCCTCAGCAGTAGGCGTCTACGACCCCTACGTGGGATTCGAACCAAGAACCTTCGGATTTGTGCGCAATTGCTTAACATTTATACTACTGAGTCGGCATCCGACGGTGTTAATGACTAAATTCAATCGATTTATGATGATGAGCAATCCATTGTCTGAGGTGGGTAACTGCCTTACACTTGACACGAATTGGACTCCGTTGATCACGGCTCCGGGAGTTCCATCTCCGAGCTAGTCACTAGTGAGCACATCAAAATGGGGATTTGCAGAGATTGTATTAATGTAAACAGTTGAATTCACGAGTCGACATATTTATCTTTTGAAGTTCTAAACTATTTACTAATGGTAGTTAAAAATGCAGTGCTAAGGATTTAATAATTGAAGAGTTCAGCTTTCAAGCACTTGATCTGAATTCAATCCTGTTTGAACAACCTTATAATTGATAACATGAAGTGTGTATCTAAGTCAAGCAAATATATCCCAAATTTGAATATTGTAGGTTGTATTAGTTACAGAATGATCTTAATTGGGACACGATTGGATATTAGCAAAGACTGGACATATTTTCATAGCAGTATGAAACTCAACAGCAGTTCGGACTCAAAATATCACAAAGAATCAAAGCTAGAACCTCCAGCTCTCTTTAAGGGTACTTAACAATTAGAACCACAGTGTCAGTGTCCACTAATATGTTTCCGAATTCAATCAACTTATTGATATGTCAAGATGGTTATCTAATCCGATTAGTGATAACTGTCTCACTGCTACCATGTACCAACTTTACCAGTCATAACTTTTCGCTTCAACATCCTAAAGTATATTACTAGCAAATTGATATTTATAGTTTATTAAAATGAATTTTGGTTTAACTTCTAAACTGAAACTGTTATATCCCGTGGAGAATTATGAATGGTAACTCTGAGGACTATTTATCGACCAATATGATATGTATATTCCCTATTGTATAATTGCTAAATAACTTAACTATTCATATTCATGTTCCTTTTATTATAAGCTTTATTTTGACCTATGAACTATTATTATAATATTTACCATTCTTGTGTTATCCGTAGTCTATTAATTACTGCCTCCCATATTCACAGACACTTTTGGCTAAATCTTGTACAAATGTTATTTTCTTATTTTATGGTACGATGTGGTGAGTTTGTTTGGTCTATAAACCCAGTATGTTTGAGAATAATGATTCATATTGCAGAGGCTGTTACCGGTATTCTGGAATTAACTGACTGAGCTAGGCAGAAAACAGGACTGATACGACTTTTGTGTATCATTGCTCCGATTGATAATCGGTTCTTCTCTCATTGGTGGGAATCAGCACATTCATATATTAGCAGGGAAAGTACGCACCCAATCGATATAACAGAAACCATTACACAACATTTCTTAATTTTCAACTATACCGCCAATTTAATCAATCAATGACTAATACAAACCTTAAATCAATCTCTACAAAACTCAATTCATCAAGTTAGATTTCCCTTCTAGTTTATTCTTATAATAGAAAACAATTTCATCAGGTAGAAATTTATTAAAAACCACAAACATTTATGACAATATATAAGAACTCTCGTCTAAATTAGAACGAATAGTTTCACAGTATTTGAGCGCCGAGTTGATGTAAGACATTAAATAAGAATAATATATTTGTAAAATCTCAGCGAATGAATTTGTAGTAAATCCAACGTTTCGCCTGGCAATCTGGTCCAAGCTTTTT